TCGGGAGAGAGAGTATGGGAGAGGAGAGATAGGACTGATCCACGTCCAGGAGTGTGGAGATTTGGTTAGAGTCCGAAAAATCAGAGAGAACAGCTTAGTACTTCTGGCAGAGTATGATGTACTGTCACCACCTGGAGAGAGAAATGCCGGCTGCCAACAAAGATAATAGATACCAAAACCTTTCAAGGACAAGAAAATAATCTTGGTTAACTCCTCGAATGTTCGGATTGATTTTTTCCCTACAACAAACGTCACATTGGGGAGACGGGTCAGGCTAGGTAGTAAAAGGAAAAACAGTGAAATGTGTAACACAAAAGGGTCATTAAGGAGAAAAAGAACGCACAGATATCATCACACCATAACACAATAAAACACAGACAAGCAACAGGGGGACATATTCCAGTGTGTACAGCTGGATCTGGGACCGCTGCAATCTTCGATCGTGCCTCCAGCTGATCCGCTGTCCATGCGAGCCAGTCCGTTCTGAAGTTTTCTTCCTCCTTCCAGATTTTCAGTAACTATTGTTTGAAATTCATTAGCTCAAAAACCAGCAGAACTTTCACTTGTGACAGCACAGCAATGCAGATGAATGCAAACACTGTCGTCTACTGCAGTGCAGGCTCCACAGGGATGTAGGGGTGGGTTTTTATAATCGACTCATCGATTAAAATAGATTCTGGCTTGGATAACGTAAAATCGATTCATTAAAATCCTGAATCGATTTTTTAATATAAATTTATTTTGCCCAAAATGCCAGAATCTCTGGTGACATCTCACAAAATTTCAAGAACCACCAAACAGTTAAGACAGTAAATGAGAGCAGGTACACGGATTCTGCACATAGACTTAAACACACAGCGCGACCCGCGGATCAGAATCAGTTAGATGTCGCCTTTCTCACGGTCGGGGCTGAAAGCCGACAGCTCGCTGATTCTGATCTGTCGGCGGGTCCGCGCTTTGTGTTCACGCCCTTTATGAGCCGATTCTAAAGCTGTTAGTTTGATCTCTCTCCAAACAATATTGACCGAACCAGCAGCAAAAGAAGATCCAAACGCTTCACATAAACATCGTCATGAATTCACTCTGACTTTTACTGTTTTGCTTCCACCACGATGCACAGCTCTCTCTCTCTCTCTCTCTCTGTACTTCAAGAACAGTTTCCTTTCTTCATTATTCGCTTGCTTGTTAGCACAAGTCTACGTTGTCCTTACCACCCCAGAGATACTTTAATCTCGTAACTCAGGAGTGCTACCTGTACGGACTTAGAATTCAGAATCGCGCTGTTTTTATTGTTGGTTTATTTCCCTTGCTCCTAACACATTTTCCTCGTGAACGACGTAAAAACACATATTTCCTGCCAATTTCAACGGTACAAGCTAAGAACATATATATTGTTAATAATCAATTTCATATTCGTATATATCCTATTCTTCTGTATTCCAATTTTGGTGTGATTTGTGGTTAAGAATGGTACATGCTGATACGCAGTATTTCTGTTTTTCACTTATAAGTACAGGCCAGAGGATCCACTGTAGAGAGATTACGGACCCTGTTTTCGATTGTTTTTCTGTGGCTTATTTCTGTGGCACGACTAACTTTGACCACTCATATTAAGGCTGATATGTCTTCGTGAGCGCTATAACAGAGACAATATACATCTGATAAACGTCATTAACGGCGCACGTCTTCGCGTGTCGTTCCTTAGATTCTCTTATTTTATAAGAATACACACAACTAGTGTTTTGTGTAAAACCAAAAGTACTCTGTAATCCCCATATAGATAATTTGTCAATTATATATAAATTACTCCTGACTAGTCCTCAAAAGTATATTCTCGACACTCGAGAGGTCCAATAAATAAAAATACTCTGAGAAGTATATCGAATCCTAGAGAGTGAATCGAAAGTTAAATCGAGCACTATAGTGGGATCGAATCGATTCGGCGTAACGGTCACTTCCTCTCGAGTAGAATCATCTCGGAAACTTAAGAATTCGAATTTCTTAGGAAATCCAGTGGTGGACGATGGAACCGCTACAATGCAGCCTCTACAGTGTTGAGATAAGTGCGCACACTAGGACGAGACTAACAAAGGTGAGAGCTAGTGTCTAGTCATATGTCCATCACTGATGACTCGTCTTGAAACGAGAAGTATTATATTCCGTGAGACGACGTCTTTTCACGGAGTCGCTTTCTTTATGTAGTCTTGATCAATATCAAGATGACGCAGCGTCAACCTCCCAGGAGGCAGCCTGGTGAATACAGATGTCTCTCAGTTGTAGGTTCAACCAACTGAAGCGGTTTCGGTATAACGAAAATATGGAGACTGTGTGCAAAGGGTGTTCTGTCCCACGCTTATCCAAACATTCGCTACGTAAAAATGTAGCTTATTCTTACTCGGTAGGTCAATTCCACCAACACATGAATTAAGTGACTTATCATACAGTGAGCCCCACGGCACAGAGCTGGTTATTGCACTCGCTGGTTCCTACAGAAGAACACTCAGGTCGAAGTGAGCAGTATAAGTAATAATTTTTTTGCATAGGCTAAAATCTTTCTGTGTCTCATCCATAGACATGATAGCACCGCGTAAGCACATAGAAGCTATATAGTACACGAGAGGTCTGATGCTATTCACTTACCAAAGCCACTTACCCAGCATGAGACATAGGTCAGTACGTGTGTTTCTTGTGCATGGCTCACATTGTCTAAAATTTAAGTGGACCGCTCCATCTTTGTTGTGATATACTCAAGGAGCAAAAGAAGACGTATCCTACTCTGGCTCTTGTGATGCACTGTAAACATCTCAAATATTAAATATGTTAAAGCTGTTTAAATAATTAAAGTAATTAAGTTTGCTCTACAAGTTGTTTTATATTAGATCAACACTGGTCGCCATCTTGTTAACAGCTAACCATGGTAAGAAGTATATGTTGTCAGTCATGTCTTATTAACACTCTCTGGTGATACATTTAATTCACTTATTTTATTTATCTTACTTCTGAGAGTAATATATTTAGTAGCGAGTCAATAATTGGCTCGCGCTCTCAGTTTTGATTACATAAGTGTGATGCTGCTCGTTTTGATGTGGAAGAGTGATCTAAAAAACTATAACAATAGCCATACTACGGATCGTTGTTGTGCATTTTGTGACAGGTTGCTGGCTGCCTTAAATAATATGGGTTTAATCATTTTTATAAACGAGCGGTGGCTGTCTTTTCCATAATTGAAGAGAACCATTTGTGAAGTTATAGCTCATTGCCTGTACACGACAGCAAAACTAGAGATTAGATGGTGTGCAAGTTAAGGTGAAATGTATTAAATGATGACTAGAGCCTAGAGTCTTGGAGACAGAGCCCATGATTGTTCAGCGAGAACTATCAAGATATCTATGTTGAAATTATTGAGTTTATATAAGACTGACTTCTGGCATCACGCAAGAGACAACACGTAAAAGCACAATCTTATCATTTAGGGAAATGCCTATATTAAGAACACGTTCAGATCAAGAACTGGAGTGAGAGAAAGCAACATCGTATTCCACAGATAACTAAGCAAGCAAATATTAACATAAAAGCTAGTAGGAACCAACAAACTTTTTAACGATGTCCGTTATGTTATAAGGAAGATAACGTCTGCTACCAAGAGGAACTATATTGATTGGTACTCAACACCGTGTTACAAGAAGATAAGCTCTTTTTTTGTATAATATCTCTCGCAGAACGTCTTTCAATTAAAAACAGCTAATCTATTAAGACACACGATGAAGCTATGTCCTCTTATCCTCTCATATGGAGTTTTTCTTCTCAACGAAGAGGTGCATATATTCTCAATATGATTGACTACAAACTCATACACCCACAAACGCTCAGAGCAAATACGACTTGAACAGAGACACTTCCGACCTCGTTAAGTAAATTTGTGACAGATAGTAACAGAAAAACGAAGCAAGAAATGCACCCAGGCTAAGCGTGTGTATACACTCTCAACAGAGGACTTGCAAGAATTGATATACGTAAATGTGAGTTGGAGACACAATTCTTCGTCAGAGACTCCAAAAATGTTCATTACAAGTATTTCATCTCTCACCTGCAACACTTGCTTTAAAAGTTATTACCACCATCTTGCTATTATTGTATAAGTGAGGAGAGTACAATCAATTCCCATAGAGATAGCGAGAGAGAGACTAGGCATCAGGCCCTGAATCACACCTGACGTCTTAGGGTGTCGAGTATAACCAAAAGTTATATACTTCATGACCTGTATGAAGCTCAGGGAGCATTAAGATAAAATAGGAGAGCCATACCAACCCTCAGGTTCGAAGAACGCTTGATTATGACTTATCCTAAACTTCAACTCTTATCCAACAATAAGCACTCGATAGTTATTCTTGAAACGCACTCGTCACACAATATTAGCTCTCAAGCTGTTTTTGATTTTTTGTTTTTATTATCGATTAGGACGTTCGACATTGGCTGTGCTTTTTTGCACCGCGCACTACACATGCAGCCTATATACCATCCAGACCCTCAACATACTACTGAGAGTGACCTATGAGATGTCTTAGCTGTTAAATCAAGCAAACAACTACTTTTCTGCTTAGAATCTTGAATGACACCAACATCACAGGAGACTTGGAGTTAGATGATAACATGCTGCCCTCTGATGTTGGTGTGATGGACAATACAATACCGTGTGTATGCACAGTTAGTTGCCTCTTAAGATAGCTCTATTGGGCGTGTCATTTCACTCACTATTAACGCTGGTTCATCATCAAAAATTTTAAGAGCTCACATTACAAGTAATGCGAGTCTCTTTGGTCATCATCAACTCTGACTACCCTGGCATTCTAATCGACTCTTTTATAATCACACTATATAACAGAGCCCACACGAAACCAATGCCTTAATGCTGTGACAGCTTGCTTGGAATCTTCAGCAATTCATTGTACTCAGATAGAGATATGATTTATTATTCTCGATCTCAATGTTCGGTGGTATACATTGCGACTCCACAGGCGATGTTTGGTGATAATGTGAGCCAGAAGTAACAGGAGTCTCCTGGATATAGAAATAAGTTCAAAGGATGGACAATGTGTGGTTTCTTCTTTTTCCAGTGTAAGGTTAGGTACACATGACGACTACAGACTAAAAAAAAAATACTGTAATGTGGGACTGAAGCTGAATACAATCTGCTCACTACTGGATTTGACTGGTTGAGCAGCATGGTGGTGAAAACCAACGGGCATCTGTAGTGACGTACCAACAAAGCAGAGTAAACCTCATGATGCTGCTATCTGTAATTCAGTGTTAGAAAGGATAGTGACGGTAATTTTAACATGCTAGCACTACTTTAAGCTACAACAGATACAGAGTTAGCTGTGCACAGAGCTACTGTAAGGCCCTCCAGTGTGTCCTCTGAGGCTTGGTGGAGTTGTGCTATTACGTAGCGTGAAAGCCCTTAAAGAAAAATGGAAGTCAGAGTTGTCATAATTTACCAGAAGGATGTAAGGCTAAGTCGTTAGAGCAAAGAACAAAATAGAAAAATACTACCAAAGTTCCCCTGAGCAAATTCCCACCCTTTCTCCTCACTGGTGTGCATTTCTGTTTGGTCCACAGAACGAGATGGACTAGAACAACGTTTTAGTGAAGATCGTGTGCTGCTGTTCTAATGAGATAACTCATTCGCTGTCATACCTCTGAATAAGGTGAAGCAGCTCCAGACCTCATGTCACAAAATTTTGTTATGCAAATCTAGATTCTAGAGGTCTGAAATCTATTATTGTATTTTAAAGTTGCAGCTCTGGAGCCCAGCAGCCTCGAGTGTGGAGGGACTCTAAGACTCTGGAGTTCTAGATTTTTCCTCCCAAAAAACATTTACGTGTTTACTGTAGACTTTGGTTGGTGTGATATACAATCAGCTATATTATTTCCTTAGATAATACCATATTCTACAGCTATGTTCAGAGGTTTATTTAGATCTTTATTCTAGAGCTTGAGTGATGCAGGATTTCTGATTCTGATATTTGGTGGTTTAAAACTCTGATATTCTGCTTTCACTTTAACATTTCTTATATCTGGTGATTTATTTACTTGTTCACGTCCTGCCTGCTCCGATTGTTTGTGGAACGTTGCAGAGTGCCCCCCAGGAAAAAATCTGCAATGTTAAGACATTGTAAGAAAATTGCCCCCCATCTCTTTACTTTTTTTAATTTTGCAATATTAAATGCCAATAACAACAGACTGGCAGGTATCTCATACCAAACAATAATATCAGCTTTACCCAGTCCTGCTTCTTTTGTGCTTTGTTACTATTTAACAGGATCCTTACTGAGAGCCCAAAGCTCTCCTTATTGGTCCGAGACATAAATGCCCTTATGGGTGACAGATTTGGTTAGAATCTGAGGGAAGCAGGCCAGGAATTAAACTGAGACAGCCATATAGAAACAAGTGAACCAAGTCATTAACAAAAAATTTGACCTGTAAACTTGGACTCACTACTCCAGTATTAATGTACCAACATCCTCCACTCAACTAAACACCACCAAAAAACTACTTGTAAGACAAACGGCATTTTAGAAAGTGTCCAAAATCCAATTGGCTGTTACAATACAGTATATTAAGTATCAGATTATCCAGATCGTCCATGTAACAAACACTGACGCAGGCAGCGACCGCTAGTGGGAAGGTAGAAAAATGTTGAAAACAGCAGAAAAGAGAAAAGACTGGTCCAAATAACTTCATCCTTCTGGCTCCAAAATCCATATAAAAATAGAACTCGCACTTAGTTTAATATAAAACAATATATGTGCTGGAAAGAGGAGTCCTTCCTCATCATAGAAAGACAAGAACTGAGGCGGTTCCTCTCGTTCTTTCCGCTAGGCTGAGGTCTTCGTTGATTGGTAGCAATAAGGCACGTGTGACCACTGCAATCCTCCACCATAGTTCCCTTTTGTATGAGACATCAGTAACTTCACAAAAGCCAACATTTCATGTCAGATGGGCTGCAGCGCTGACAGCTTCACCGCCTGAACAGAGACAAGAGCCATGAGAAAGAAAAGATTGAGAAGAAAAAACATTAGACAAAAGACGAGTCATTTAACAGGACAAAGAAAACTGGAATTATTTAATGACCGACAACATGAAGCCAATTACTCGTTTTCCCCATCCTAGCAGCACACTTAGAACAGGCAGCTGAAGCTTGTACAAACACAACGTTGAACCGCTCGTCATTAACTTTGAGAGAAACCCGGCTTCATAAACAGAGTGAAGTGAAGCAAAAAGGTCCATGTCCCACCAACAACACAACACCCGTTTGACACCAGAGGGCGCTGTTGCACCCAGAGCGCAGAATTAAAGAGAATGTGCAAAAGAATTATTCATCTGATAGTGGCACACCAAAGTGTTCAATATTAAATAACTAAATATGTGGATGAAACAGCAGAACATGGGATAATGTGAATATAATGGCGTTTAATAGAGCTCATTCTTATGGAAGTAGCATGATGACAAACAAAATGCAAGCTATGCATATAAAATTTTGTAAAAACTAAAAAACCCAATTTATTATTAAATAAATTAAATGAATAGAATTCAAAACTGTAAAAACAATGAAAACAATAACTAAAAATAAACAAAAAAGCCCACATTTTTAGATCTAATGACACTTTGATGCTTTATTTTCTTTTTGTTTCTAATGAATTGAATAAAACATGTTTAAAAACATAATTTGTGTTTGAATTTGATTTTTAATGACACAGATCGTGATCTTTTTTTTCCTCTTGTTTGTTCTGTAGTGACTCATATTCAACAGAGACTACATAATTATTTAGATGCATATATTGTTAAATTTAATGGGACTTACACAGCTGACTTTGTTTAAATGCCCAAACGAACAATAAACAAAGTAAAAAGACAAAATTTCAAGCTGAAAAAGTTAAAATTGTACAAAATGTATGAAAGGAAAATTGTTTGTCAGTGTGTCAGTAAAGGGCTTTCATAAATCAGAGTATTACTAAGAAAACAACAACATACCACATTCATGGTTCAGTAAAGGGCTTTCATAAATCAGAGTATTACTAAGAAAACAACAACATACCACATTCATGGTTCAGTCACACTTGAATATTATTGTTATAATTCATTTTTCTTTCATGTATTTAATATTGAACACTTTGGGCTTCCATATTGTAAATAAAAAGAAAACCCAGGGAAGCCACAGTAGAGATTTTTTTGAAATTAAATACAAAAATAACTGAATTTGCTCTTCCGTCCGTTCTTACTCACTCGGGTCAGACAGAAGTGTTGGCACGCAGCCTTATCGCAACAACAGACTAGACTGTAGGGGGACAAGGTGTAGAGGTTAGTGTTGGCATGGAGCCGCCACGCCGAGGAGCAGGAGAGTTTGATTTAACATCGTCCTCACAAGCAGTGTGTGGTGTGTGTGTGTGTGTGTGTGTGTGTGTGTGTGTGTGTGTGTTAGTGTGTGGTGTGTGTGTGTGTGTGTGTGTGTGTGTGTGTGTGTGTGTACCTTCTGCCGGCTGGTCATCCAGCTGCGGATGGTCGGCACGAGGACGGAGCCGAGCAGGATCTGAGCCGGATGGTAGATCAGGAGAGGGACTGAGATCAGAGACAGGTGCTCATAGCCCTCAAACACGATCTTCAACATGGGGATACCTGTGATTAAATAAATAAGGAAGACCTCATGGACTTAAAGCTAACCCAGCATTTAAAATTAGACTTCAGAATGAGATGCAGCGCAGACGAGATGACTTTGTTCACTTCATGCCAGCTCCGACCTGCAGCAGAGCTCACGACCGAGCTCAGAGCTTCACAGGCCTCAGAAGCTCTTTCTAACTCCTCCAGATTTCTCCTCTCTTTACTTTCTAACTTAAAACTCCACAGAGCTCTCAGGAGACACCCGACACTTGATACAAGTTTTTGCGTGCACGCTCTTCAAACACAACTTTGATGTGAAGTTTCTCTCTAACACAAAATCTGAGCGTCTAATCTGGATGTGCACCCACCCAGGGTTAGAGACTTGTGTGTGGAGCAGAACATGATGGCGACGGTGTCCGCGGGGCTGAACCTGGAGCCTGGCCTGCAGAGACAAACAGGAAGTTAAAACGTGCCATCTGTCACCCTCCAGACGGTTTGCAGGTGGTGACCTCTACACCCAGAGCAAAATGTTGGAGCAGTTCTTATTGTTTTAGGGAGCCAATACATGTAATGATAAGAATATGATGAATAAATGAAATGTATAAAAATAAAATGTGTGAATACCAAACTGTGAAAAAAAAGAAAGAAATGAAGTCTTAAAATTTAAGATTTGATCAAAGTTGTCGTTTTTCTGTTTTTAATTTTCACATTAAGGGTTTAATACTGATTCTTCTGCAAGTAACTTGATGACAAAACCTACAAGAAATAAATGCTGAAAGCCACTTAATGCTACTAAAAAATGTAATTAAAAAAAATATATTTAGAAAAACATTTCATTACATTTCTGGGCAGAGCTATGTAAAAATAATCAATATAATGAATATTAAAGAAAAGAAAAGGACAGGTTGAGAAGGAGGAAGCTTACCTGGTGGAAAAGGCAAATGTGAGCAGCATGAAGCTGATCTGGATGGAGAAAACTGCAGAGCAAGAAAAAAGAGGCAAATTTAACTTCTCATTTCATATTAAGCTAAAATCAACATTTAGATGGACTTTCAGCAGTTTTTCTTTTTAAAATATTGTTTTAGATCTTATAATAATAAGAACAATAAAAAACAGTCCATTCATCACTAACAGTCTGGAGTGCCCTCTGTGGTGGAAATGTTCAGTAACTCCTTCAGTAACGGTTGATTTGATTAGTTTAGTATCGAGTTCTTCGATTAGCCCTTTTTTGGATTGATTCACCAGTATCTGTTCTTCTACACTGCAGCTGCTTTGCAGCTGTTGTAGTTTGTACTAAGCATCTGTAAAAGACGTTGTGTGAGTCATTTGTGATTTATCATGGATTTTTATTCTAAATTAATAAAAATGTATGGATACTGAGATGTATTAGTTCTACACATTGTCTCTGAAAGTTTTCATTTTTAGACCAACTAGCCTGAGGGGTAAAATGAAACACCACACTGTTTGTGAGGGAATAGTTGTACACGTTAATAGTCTATATATACTGTTTCTATGCTTCTATGCTATGTTTCTATGTGTTCAGTCAAAACACTTTATTTTATCTCAATGTATTTGTGTTCCTATATTCAGCGATTACTGTTTTCTTTCCTTTTAAGTTAGCTTGGCTAGTTACCAAGGTAAACTTTAGGATTAAATCCAGTTAATGTTGATTTGGACGAGAGCTGTAGAGATTTTATGGTCATTTGGCGCCCTCTAGTGGCTGATACAAACTAGAGCAGTCAACTGGGAAACATTGACTACTGTTCTGTTTATTCATTTCTGATATTTTTATTTGTAGATCACACTTAGTCGGATTGTAAATAAAGGGAATCTCAAGGCTTTAAATCCTTTACCAGATGCTTGCAGTGGCTGTAATTACTTAAACATTCAAAGAAATCAGGTTCTGATGATTATACTCAGTCCTGGCCCCGGGGTCGAGCAACATGAGCTAACATCATTTTAGAAACTGAGCCTGCTTATCGCTAACCTCAATAAACAACACAGAGATAAAAACACTGGACGTGCCTTCCAGGTCTGGAAGGTGGGCTTCCTGAAATCTGCATAATTTTTAATGACTAGAAGAAGGAAACACTGGCAAACCTGGCAAACTGCTAAATTAACCAACACAATCATTAGGAGTCTTTTGTTTTCTTTTTTGCCACTGATTTTACTGAGAGCCAGAAACCTCAAGAAACCAATTACAACCAATCAGGAAGTGCACGTTTCCCTAGCAACCAGAGGTTAAATCATGTCCAACATGGCAAACAACTCTTGAACAATCTCTTGAGATCAGTTGGGTCAGCTTAACCTATGTTTATGGGAAAACGTCTTAGCAGACAGTTTCCTTTATGGGAAACATAAAAGAACAACTTTATGGCCTCATGGCTGCGGGCCATAAAGAAAAGGAAGATTAGAACTCTCTGTAGGGGTTATACATCTCATGTGGCTTAATTACACCATGGGATGGCTAATGGCTAATGGAAGTGAAGGATTTCCATTGGGTGGTGGCTGGTATGCTGAAGCATTTGAAAAATGTCATCTGAACAGATAGAGGTAGTTTTTGGGTGTGAAAAGTGAAGCCAGTGTAGAAGTGTCTTCAACCTGCATTATTTTTAATGACCAGCAGGGGAAGATCGCTGATTCAGCAAAAACTGGCAAACTGCTAGCTTAACCAACACAATCATTGTTTTTTTTGGTGCAGCACATACTCTACCACTGATTTTAACGAGAGCCAGAATTGTCCAGAAACCAGTGCCAACCAATCAGGAAGTGTACGCTTCCCTAGCAACCAGAGGTTAAATCGTGTTCAACATGGCAAACAACTCTTGAACAATCTATTGAGATCAGCTGGGTCAGCTCAACGCACGTTGGTGGGAAAACAGCCCTTATCTGCCTTGATCTATGTGCTTAGCAGTTTCCTTGACAACTTTATGAGCTCATGGCTACGGGCCATAAAGAAAAGGAAGATTCAGGACTTCAGTCATAAATTTGGTAGTCGGCAGTTGAAGGACAGGACGATACTGTGGTTGCAAACAGGCTTCCAGTGTTTATAGAAGTCTGTGGGATAACAGCTCTCTGACCTCGGTAACACTTTCCAGATGAGCTCATATTCTCAGCCACTGGTTTCAGTTTCCCGTGAATATAACATGAAGTCCACTTGAACTTTTGGTAGTTCTCAGAGTAACCGAGGAGAAATGTATTCAGGGATGCTTAAAAAGTTCAACTTTACTCAGCGTTTCAGCGCTAGCACCATTATTTTAACACTTCCTCTGATAGTTTAGTTCAAATTTACAATTTACATTTGATTTCCATTAATCTGCCACTGATGACACGCAGAAGGTGTACTGACTGATAAGGCCGACCAGCAGCAGGCTGGTGGGGTCCAGCTCGATGCTGGGGTTACTGAAGGTTTCGCAGAAGGTGGTGTAGATGATCATGAGGAGGACGGCGCTGCTGATGGCGCCGAACGGGGGCTTTTGCCTTTCCAGAAACTCCCTGAGGAAACCGCGACACACCTGCGCACAACCGAGCAAATCAGCTGATTTAGAGTTCAGACTTTAGACCAAGACTTCAGGACGTGCGCCGCTTCATACCTGACCCAGGATCAGAGGCACCACCACCGTCATGAAGAGCTGAGAGAAGATGGAGGAGAAGGGAACGGAGGACGAGGAGCCGAGCTGGAGGAGGAAGAGGAAAAAATAAATAAATAAATACAAATATTATCACAAGAAATGCACAAATTAGTGATCATATAAAAAAAAAAATTGTGCTTAATTTTAGTTATTTTATGACTACTTTTCATTTTTATGACCCTTGGTTGTGCATCATGTCTTTTTTATTTTTAAAGTAAGGTAAATAAAAACTTATTTAATTATTCGTACATTATTTAAAGCTCTTCTGGTTCTAATTTTATTCTGATTTTCATTTTTATTGTTTTGTGACTGTTCAGTTGTGTTTAATGTCCTCACGGTCATTTCAAATCTCTTTATGGTTGCTTTGTGTGATTATTTTAGCTCATTTGTGGTTTTTCGAGCTCTTTTTGTGTTTAGAGATATTTACTTTGCATGCATACTTAATTATGTTCTTATCTGGACATCAAACAAATTGAAAACAAAGTTTAAATTTATCCATTTTTCACTTTCTTCATATTTGGAGCAGGACTGGCTTGTAGCGTGTCTGTAATTTAAAAGTGATCATTTTGCTTGTTTTATGTCTCGGTTTGGTTGCCATGGATCTGTTTATGTTTGTTTTATGTTCATAACCCGACCAGGACGTCCTTACAAACGTCTAAGCCTCGTAAGGCGTCATGTGGCAGGCGGGACTTACAAACAGCAGCAGAAGCAGAGGAGTGACGACGATTCCCTGCAGGGAGAAAAAGGGAAAAGAGAAATCAGGATTACAGCTTTGACTCTTCGTTCATTACTGCAGGATCGCTTCATTACAGTCACAATCCTCCAAGGAACGTGAAACAGAAAAAAAACTGTCTTACCAAGAAGCTTCCAAAAGCAGAGTTGAAGATGGCGGCGGCCTGCACAAACACGCACTCAGTTTATCACTTTGGTGACACTGCAGGTTTAATCTGACCTGCTAATCTTTGTGTTTGTGTTACCTCGTTGCCTCCGACAGCCTTGGTGAGAATAACGGCGGAAGAGACCGGAGGGGGCATGCAGCTCACCGTCTGTAACCTAGGCAACCACAACAACCACAGGGTGAAGAAGAAAGAGGAGGATGAGGATGAAACAGATCTGAGTCACTGCCTGCCTCCTCAGAGGAAATTGTGAGGATGGAGGAATGTTTTTCACAAATGAGAAGAACAAAACAAAACAATGCAATATGATGTCACGCAAACAGGTCTGCAGGTGGGAGGGGCTTGTGTGAGACTGAGATGACCATATTAGGAATATGTCCCCTCTGTGATGTCATAAAGATCAGAAAAAAACTGCCTGAAATAAAGAGTTTAGAGCCATCTGAAGTCTGGAATTGCTTCCACATAGAAAAAATGTTTACAGATCTTATAAATCTATATTTTATTTACAACTGATGATACAATTTTATTTATTTATTTATTTTAATCTGATGACTTCACTTGGACGGACCTCAAAACAAAACTGTGAAAAAAAATAAAATATCCTGTTCCTGGTGTTTCTCTTGGGGGGAAGTCTCACATTATACACAAACACATGGAGCCGGGTCTGTAGTAATCTGTGAATGTGTCTTTATGCCAGCCCTCCAGGTACTGTGAGAATAAAGAACAACATTCTCTCTCTCACACACAGACACACACAGGGTCCTACCCTCTGAGCAGCCATTGGTCGATGGCGGTCAGTGAGAGCACCTTGAGCAGCAGCCAAACGGCGAGTGGGAAGAAGATGAGGGTGAAGGACTGAACAAAGAGGTGGAGCCGCACGTGAAGCAGCGCACTGGTCAGCTCCTGCACACAGAGAGGGAGACTTTTCCAAACTGCACCTGAATGCAACACTGCATGTTCCATAACTGAGGACAGAAGCAGGATGGGAGCAGCTCACCTCAGTTTTTAGCGACAGGCCGCTGTTGAAGAAGATGAGCGAGACGGCGATGTACGCTACGGTGACCTCCGGTTTTAAAGGACCTGACAGACAGAAACAGATCAAATTTTCAAATGTGACATAGTCTGTGTAATACAGCAGGGAGAGGAAGCAGCCATCTGCTCTCTGTAGCTCTGCGTGGAGACCTGTTTTTACTGCAGTATGGATTAAAAGGGTTTTCACATCCGGTGCAGTTTCACCTCAGTGCTGCCTTTGTGACGTTGACATAATAGTTTCCTTAATAGGATTTAGCTTTCGGTTGGTGTCTTTGGTTCAGCTCTTGACTTGTTTTCCTCTGTAAGGACCTGTAAGGACCTTCTCTGTTAGGGTGTGCAGATTTTCCTCTTACGTTGCTTGTATGACCTGTGAGGTTCCACAAGGTTCACTCCCGGGTTCATTGTTATTTTCTTTTTACCAGCTTCTTTTAGCTAGAATCAATCTTTTTATGGCATTTCATATCATTTCTGGATAACCAGCTGGAGGCTAGTTAACTGATCATCCCAGATTACGCACTGACTCTTCAATAACTACCTTGTTTTAAACTTCATATATAACTGAACAAAGACTGATCGCACCACAACTTCTGCCTCCAAGTCAGCTGTGTCATCCATGCTCGCAGTTTACAAAAGATGAGAGCTGCATGTCCTTTAGCTGAAACAAGACTAAGGTGCAACTGTTTTCAACACAACAGCAGCAAATAAAACAAACAATCAAAGAAACAAAAACACACCACACCTGTGCTGATGTCATACTTCCAAAGCATCAACATTTCATGTTGGGATGCCCAACATGCAAACTGGCTGAAAAAACACTGTAGTAATCTGTGAATGTGTTATGAAGTTGAGACTGCAAAATGCGTGACGTCACAATGGATTTGACCATCTTTTATATACAGTCAATGGTAACACGTTAAAATAAGAGTCCAGCAAATACGAGCAAGAAAACCCACTGATATTTGAAGCCGGCGTTTACGAGCAGCGCCTAAAGGCACCACGCCGATAGTGGCGTCTTATCTAATCTACAGGGAAATGAGCGGAGGGGTTATCAGCTCCGGTGGCGGCTGATTTGTAGTTATCAATGCTTATGCTTTCTCCTCACTTAGTTTAGTGGCAGTAATTAAAGATGCCGATAACGTGCTCGTGGACGCGCACACATGAGCGCGGAGCGGAGCACGGAGTTGGGTTGACATTACCTACTGAATGCAACGTGTCACTACAGCGGCACTTCAGGTACGGAGACACACACAAACACAAGGAACCACTGTGACGTAGAGCCTGCTGCCCCAGGGCCAGCATGCAGAGGAACCGCGACATTCCACTGAAAGAAAATCCTGAAATGTACACTTTGTTAAAGTCTGACAAAACCTCCATTCATTACATCACTACGTTATAAATAAAACCAACAGTATTTGCACCTTGTTTCGGCTCAGGTCATATTCACAGAAACATGCAATGTTAAGTTGATAGTCCACACTTTTCTTCAAATTTCGGGGAAACAGCGCTAAATAAAGTCTAGAAGTTGTTCATTTATGGAAGATCAAAAGTTTCCAGGTAAATCAGCCTGTGGCGATTTATTTTGTGACTCCTAACGATTGATTTAAGGTGTTAAGTCTTTACCTGAAAGAACACCTTTGGCCCTGAGAGAGAAGTAAAAGGATGGCAAACTCTTTCACAGCCTGGCAGTAAAATGCCCCAAACTGACCACTTAATAAACGGAATATTTGTTCATTTAGAGTCATTCAAAGAGTGAACACATTTTAAAGCAACACCATTGAACTTCAGTGATGAACTTCCGACCCTCTCACCTCCTTTCACTCCGATGCTGGGCTGCAGCTTGGCCGATAAGATGACCAGCACGATCCCGACGATGAACCACTCCTTTCGTATCCTCGCCACGAGGCCCATGTTTCAGCTCGCCGGTGGTCCACCGGCTCTCCCTGCCTGCCCCCCACGGTCACAGCAGCCGGGACAGAAGTTCCCACAACTCCGGCGCTTCTTCTACGAAGCTTTTATCGTCACAAAACACAGGCAGAGGAAGCCGAGGCTGCTTCCGGACACATGGGCCCAAACTAGCCGTAAAGACCAGATTACAGACGCACCGACTCACTCATTACCGTAACACTACTAAAAGCAGCACAACATGCGTGTAACGATCAGAATCTGAAAAAATGTCAAAAGATTACATGTTAGGATACAGTTTCATTATTTATAGGTTAAAAAACACAATACAAGTAAAAGTATGAATAACACTGTTATAAATAAAGCTGTGTAAGAAACCGGTAAAGAAACAATGGATGTAAGGGTCAGTATAACATTAACACATTTTAGTAGATATTTAAAAAGTTATTTATTAAAAATATGTGCCATTTATTTAACTATAAACAAATAATCATAGCAAACATTTTAAAAAATGTAAAAAAAAATATATATTTAGAAAATTGTGATAATGAGGTATTTTTTTAGGTGAACAAGTCATAAAAATATTTAAAAAAATTTAAGTTTGTACAAAAAATAGAAAAATTTTAATTGACTTGGAGAACAACAGTATATAACATGTAAATAAGGCTGAAATCCCAAACCTCATGCTTTGATGTCCATTTCTCTTCTTACCAGTTTTGTATTCAGTATTTAACGTCTTTTAAAACAGTCAAGGTCACTTTTAATAGAAGACTTATGAACAATAACCAATGACAAACAAACTATATATCAAGTCAATAAAAGTAAATTTTAACACTGAGTATTTAAACTGACATTAAAACATTACAAGTGCTTGAGTACAGATGAATTGTGTGGTTGTAGCACATTGTTAACTATGCAGAAAAGGGATCTCGTGACGTGCAGGGATTAGACCCGTGTGATAAGGAGCGTCCTTGTAATGACATCATTATGACTGTTGTACATTTCTTTGTGGATGATGGCCTTCAGCTGATGCAATTGAAAAGTAAACCACGGTGCAGTGCGAGAGAAGGAAAGGTTTC